ACATATGATAATCTTAGAATTTTAGTGCACGGAGTTTTTACCGTATTATGAAATTTTCCAACCGGAGTAATTCCGACTCTTCTCCTAACTCCCGGGCAAGCCAAAAATTGATTGTATTGACCTACATGGGATACCTGTAGCCTATCATGCAACAAATAAATTGAAGAATATACTGCTTACATATGATAATCTTAGAATTTTAGTGCACAGAGTTTTTACCGTATTATGAAATTTTCCAACCGGAGTAATTCCGACTCTTCTCCTAACTCCCGGGCAAGCCAAAAATTGATTGTACTGACCTACATGGGATACCTGTAGCCTATCATGCAACAAATAAATTGAAGAATATACTGCGCACATATGATAATCTTAGAATTTTAGTGCACGGAGTTTTTACGGTATTCATTGGTCAAAAGTCAAATCTGTATTTTTTTGAGGATCGAAATATTCGTCTCCAAATACCTCCCCCGAAAAGACGAAAATATAAAATTTGAGGTAAAATATAAAAATTTCACCGTTGTTCGCCAACAAAATGCGCATGAAGGGTGTCACAGGGAACCCTTGGGATAAAATATCAGAAAAAAAACTTCGGATTTTGTGCGTTTTTGGAGTTATAACGTCACTTGTCTTGGAAATGGGTTGAATATGCTCTACACCTCTTTTTTAATATCCTCATAACGAACCTACAGTTTTTATTTTATTTCATATTAGGAGAGTTTGTTATCCCACAAATGTAAGACGCATTCTAGGATGTATCTGTATCGGATTTAGACAACTTTCATGGTAGGTTCACGCGCGGTAGGTTTAAAGGTAAAATAAGACTTTTTTTTTGTTCTCGGTAAGAATAAAAAAAAAAACACATCTAAAACACTTAATCGATTCCTCAAAATACTTTTTGTTCTGACTTTTCTTTTATTAAAAAACGATCAAATATCTTATTCCTCAGTAACAAACACTAGTTAAATTAATAAGTCAAGGCAAAGCACGTGTAAAAAAACAAAAATCAAGTTGACTTTCATTTTCAAGCGCTAGCAAAAAATTATTAAAGCATCTTATAACACCCATTTATGTAAATAAATTGTCAAAACAAACGTCAAAATCGAGAACTACGAGGAAAAATCTGTCAGTATGACCTCATAAATACCCGAAAATATGACTAAAATAAGTGGAACGGCCGTAAGAAGTTGAGGAAAAGCCCCATGACCGGGCACACCTTTCGTTCCAGTGTGCGCCGCATGGTGAATTCAAACCCAAGCGTCAATTTGAATTCCTCCTAAAAACAAAAATAGATTTTTGTGCAAAATGTCGGCCCAATCCCAAAAACTGTCTGATTATTATTTAAAAAACAAATTATACCAAAAACATACGATAGCTGTGCCGTTTGAATTCATCATTTAAAAGTAGGTAGGTTATATCAAAACGGCCCAATTTCCCCCCTTTTTCCTCCAACAAATCAAATACATAAAACGTATAATGGTCTGAACACGTTTTGATCCATCGTTTAAAAGAAGTGATATCAAAACGGCCCATCTTCCCTTAAATTTGTCCACCTCGGGACAAAATTCTTTGAAACTTTCCAATTCATCGCTGAAGAGACACCAACCATCGCTTGGATTTTAGTATATCTCTTTGTTTAAAAATCAAATATGTCCCTTTGAAAACTGTAATGATTTTTTTTCTTTAAAGATACAAAACACAAATAATCGTCATAAAGTTGAAAAAAAATTGAAGGAAAAAAAAGGAATGGGCCGGCCGGCACGTACCAAAAACAAGTTTATACGTTATTACGAACCAACACTTTGGCAAAGGTTACAGACCTAGTCTTGCAAACCCTTAAGTTGTTAGCAACGAACCATTTTAAGTATCGCTAGGATGAGGCACATGCCTATTAATACACCAAGTTTCAGTAGGCAGTTTGTCAGACGCTATGTCACGAGCAAAGACATCGCTTGAAAGCTGTAGGTAGGTATTTGGGAAAATTAGTTTTAAGACATCAGAGCATGACTGCTGTGATGCTCATGAGGCATTACGTCTGAACTAGTATCGTCCGAATGAAGAAAACTTCTTGCAAATGTAGCTACTGGAAAATGATCGAGTGATGCTCTCAGAAAAATTGATCCTGCTTTCGATGACGAGACACGGCTAAAGAAGTGGCGAGAAAGACGAGAATCACCCTGTCACCTACTACCCATAAGTACGGCTGGCCGGCCCATTCCTTTTTTTTCCTTCAATTTTTTTTTCAACTTTATGACGATTATTTGTGTTTTGTATCTTCTGGAGCTCAAAAAGGTTTTTTTTCACATTTTTTAGTAAGTGGTTTACACAGTCAAGTTTGGTTACCATTCTTCCATAAGGCACCCTTCCTCGGATGGCCGTCAGCAAACTTGAATCACCATCTGCAATCAGCGTATCGTAATGTACCCTGTGCATTTCTTCGCTCCTATTATATCTCTCAACAATGATATCCGCTTCCATGGCAGGCGAAGTACCATTCCAATTAAGGTAACATTAATGTTCAGGACATTTCTCCTTCTTTCGCTTTGCAATGGCGCACACACTGCAATATTTGTTCCTAACACCTATGTACAGTAACCGTTTTGTGTTCTTTCCGATAATAACGGCAACACCAGACTTTGCATTGTACTTGTGCCCGTAACTCCTGTGACTCCAACCACCATCACCTATCACAGTTACGACAGGCATGCCTTCCAAAAATCTGCCTTTTCTGATGGAAATATCTCTCTCCGCTTTGCCGGCTTCCATCATGTCTTCCTCTAATGCATCAAAGAATACCTGGAAAAGAGACATTAAAAATTAGAATAGAAAAGGAATTCCATCCTAAAAAAAATTCATGTATCTGCTTCTGCTTTCAAATAAACTTTCCAAGAGGTCTACAAGACTACCAAGGTCCTCTAAATGTAGACCTCTCTTAAGCGTTCTCTTCCCAGCAATAAAATTAAAAATGCCTTTTATCTATCTATCATAATTATTAGCAGTCATTTGCCTCTCCCCCTCTACTCTAAATCAATTTAATTGCCTACAGGATTATCAAAGAGTGCAATCTGCATCTTCCAAAAACTAATTATGCAATTACCTCAGAGTGATCTGTTATGATTCAATTTATTCAATTTCGTCTTTTTCTATCAGATCCCCCAAAAAATCGATTTTAAAAAATTTTCTCTTAAAAACTGTTTTCTCACTTTTTTCGTTTAAAAAAACCCCCAAATTTTTCACCTGAAGAAGAAATTAGGCTGATTGTCGTCTTCCTTAAAACCGTTTTAAAGTAAAATTATAGTTCTGCATTAAACAAAAAATATTTTCAATGATGTTTCAACATTAAAATGCTCTCGTGTGAATCATTCTTTGAACACCTAAGAGGAAATGAAATCGTCACTTAATTTGGCCTCATCGAAGGAAAATGTAGTTAGATTTAAATCGTTGCAATTGATTCAGGTGAAGAAATCTTCCCCCTTCATGATAGGTTTTTTTTCTCAATTATTTTGTAGAAAAAGGCCGAGAGAGAATTTCAACCAAGTTATTCATAAAAATAAAATTTAGAGGATGGTTTGTATTGTGCAAGGTTCTTGGCATGAACAAAATGTAAAAATTCCTTAAGAATTTTGAAATTTGTTTTTTTTAAATCGAAAAGGAAAGAAATCAATAATGCTGAAGGAATCGATAATGCTTGGTCCATAAAACACCTCATTCAAAATCAAGCTTTTTGCAGATTTTGCCCCTTTTTCCCCTCATCGCTCCTTCTACAATATCACAGGAATTAATGCTCCTGTTTTTGTGTAACTGCCTTTTTTACACTTCACTTATGACAAACTCTAATCATGGCAAGTGATTTATCCATTGTATTCAATCGCTGTTTCAATTTATCTCTAATTGACTCATTTTCCTCTCTACTTTTTGGGTACTTATTGACTTGGTGAGTGCCCTACCTCCATCTCCTCTGTACTCATCTGCACACAGTACTCACACATATTATGCTTTAAAAGACTCTTACCTCTGCTACTTCATCTTCGTGTGTCCTGAACGCATCATAGGATAGCGGCGGTATGGAAAGAAAAACTAGTAGTTCTGCAAGGTGATCGTGTCCCTTGCCAATGGCGTTTGAACCAGCAACACAAGACATGTTTATTTGTTTTGATCCCTCTGGAATCGTTTTAATTCTTCGAGCCTGGCCACAGTAGTTGCACCCAAAGGTTAGGACACTTGCAAGTCCCAAACGGTTTTCTTTCAGGAAATCCATTCCTCCCAATTGTCTATTTGCTAGGCATTCATGATCACCCAATTTCGCCACCTCTTTAATGAAGTGTGAAATGTCAACAATGCGCCGGTGTTTGAGGGATTCCAAATTTCTGATGACACCGAGAGGACGAAATTTTTCAATGGCTAGTCGATGTGCATCTACCTCCTGTTGTCTGGAGAAAGAAAATTAATAATTAATGAAATCACCTTTTTTAGTGCTGAGTGAATCAACTTTTTTTTTCTTTAGGCTTTCAGTATGATAAAACGGCTGTTTATCAATGAGCTAAGGTGGCATCTTTGTCTTGTCAAGTATCAAGGTTGATTCGATTTTTACTTGAATTAATGTGGCCTAAGGGATGAGAGATAATGAGACAAAACTTTTATACAACTGGCAAGAGATGCTTCGTTTCTCTTTCTTTTCCAAGATTATTGAAAGATATGTGAGAAATGAACATTTGTGCAGGAAGGTAATCATATCTTTAATACGCACTCATGAAGGAGATAAATTTAATTTTGCTTACTCTTTATTAATATCTTGAATTTTAGCGGAAGTTTTGGGTGAATATAATGAAGTCTTCTCAGGACTTGGTACCCCTGTTATTTCAGTACATACTTCTTGGTCAACATAAGTAGTGGCTGCTATGGATCCGGATTCATCAAGATCGTGCTGTTTTGGGTGTTCCGTTGATGAAAAATCCATTCTAAAAAAGCAACAAACAATAATTAATTTGTTGAAAGGCGTTTCAAAATTTAGGATGGTACTTTTATACATTCATGAATGAAGTTTAAAAAGGCTTATAAAAATTTACGTTCATAAAACTATTTTTCTCATCGCATTAAAGTAAAAAGATATTATTAATGCTGAAAATAAAGTCAACAATTCGCTTACTTCAAACTCTTAAGTATTTTCTCAAGGGTTGAACATTTGAATGTTACAGTTCAGTATCAGCAAGAGAATGTTACTGATCGTCTCCGCACATCTGATTCGACATAGAAGTAAAAGTGCCAAAGATAAACTACCCTTTTTCCTACCTTGTGATGTCAAGTAGCTTCTAAGGTAAGAATTTCTAAATTTTTAATATTTTTGTTTATTCAATTTGTATATAATTTGAATCATTTGTAGAGAGGTAGAGTCCTCCAACGATTTCTCTTACACTCAAAATTTTTTCCCTTTGGGCCGCAGAAAATTTACAATTATTTGCAGTTAAAACTACTTTTCATTCACTTCTTTCTTAAATGGGATCTAGTGCGGTTCTTAAGCTCAGGCAAATTCATAGCTTCCCTTGGAAGTTAAATATAAGTAATCTACTCAAATTCAATTTTTAAGTATGAGAAATTGAGTAAATTGTACTTATCCGTGTTCCCCCCCCATGCCCCAAAATTATTGTCCTTTAGGTGAAATGTGATAATTAAGAAAGAATGACTCAATTCTGCAGGCATACCTTCTCATAGGCTGAGGTGGCAAGGCAATGAATGAAGATGACGTCTGTGAAGTCTCTTTAGCATTTTGTTCAACCGTAGATTTGGTTGCTGAACAATAATGATTGTGAAAGGAGTTTTTTGTGGCTGGATCCACTTTCCGAGAGTACATCTTCATAGATCTGCTGTATCTGAAAAACGAATGGTCCAAGTTGTACTTTTCAGGCAAGATTTTAGTAACCTCTTTGTAGGATCAGTTTAACAGTCCCAAATAATTAACAAGTCATTGACAAGTTTCAAAATAGGATTCCTCTCTCTGCAATTAAAGACGGATTTGTGCTTGAATTTCAATATCATTAGAAGTAGCAAACGAATTTTTGTGAGATGCGATGGAGTGTATAAAAAGATAGAAAATATATTTCAAAGCGTCCAATAAAAGTTACCTGTGAGGGTATTGAGGTGACGGAATGTGCATAGTTTGTGATGCTGAAGAGTCTGACCATTCCATGTCTGAATCCTCATTATGAAAACATTGAGAGCCTTGGGGGCCAGTTTTTATTTTATATTCTGTAGACTACTTGTTGTATCCGTTTTTCATTTAAGTGAGCTTAAGGGTTGGTTTGAGGCAGTTTTCAAGCAGTTCTACAGCTGGAATTGTTCCGCTAACAATCATCATGAAGAACTTTCCACACTTCTTATGTCAGAGTGAGCCCACGTCAAGTCCTGTTTTTTGTATTGCGTTAAATTTGTCTATGAATGCTGATCCAAAGTCATATTTGCGACAACCCTTCACGGGCAACTATTTCTACGAAGTTCATGGTTGAAGTTTTGATAATCTACCAAGGTAGATAGGCTATTTCGTAATATATATATACGTATATATCTGAGCCGACATCATGGATGTTGCCTAAATTTTAGGGGCATTCTAAATAGCCTAAGTGCAGCCTGAGTTTTTCAAAATAAGGAAGATAGCCTATTTTATAACAAATATATACACATATATATATACGAGCCGACATCATGGATTTTGCCTATATTTTAGGGGCATTTTAAATAGCCTAAGTGCAGCCGCAGTTTGTCAAACCAAGGTAGATAGGCTATTTATTAATATAAATATACCTATATATATATGAGCCGAAATCATGGATGTTGCCTATATTTTAGGGGCCTTCTAAATAGCCTAAGTGCAGCCTGAGTTTGTCAAACCAAGGTAGATAGGCTATTTCGTAATATATATATACCTATATTTATATGAGCCGACATCATGGATGTTGCCTATATTTTAGGGGCATTCTAAATAGCCTAAGTGGAGCCTGAGTTTGTCAAACCGAGGTAGATAGGCTATTTTAAAATAAATATATACATATACACATAAGAGCCGACATCATGGATGTTGCCTATATTTTAGGGGCATTCTAAATAGCCTAAGTGGAGCCTGAGTTTGTCAAACCGAGGTAGGTAGGCAATTTTAAAATAAATATATACATATACACATAAGAGCCGACATCATGGATGTTGCCTATATTTTAGGGGCATTCTAAATAGCCTAAAGGCAGCCTCAGTGTGACAAACCGAGGAAGATAAGCTATTTAGTAATGTGTATATAAAAGCGAGCATCGTCGATGTTGCCTATATTCCAGGGCCATTCAAAATGGCGTAAAAACTGCCTGAGTTTGTCAAACTAAGGTAATTAGGCTATTTGGTAATGTTTATATTTATAAGCAAGCATCGTAGATGTTGCCTATTTTTAAGGGGCATCGAATTGGTTTTGAATCCCACAATGCCTTGATGAATCGCAAATGCCGTTGCTAGCCTGCAGAGCAGGATAAACCATCCCTTGATGAATCGCAAATGCCGCTGCCAGACAACAGAGCAAGATAAAGCAATGCCTAGCGTTATACGTGGTTACCTCACGGCTCCGTGGTAACTTTGATAACTTAAATAATTTTTACCGGTTTTGGAAATTATTAATAATCCTTTTTAAATTGTTTCAGATTCACATCAAAATGTAAGAGAAAGAAAGCAAAATCCCGAACGCTCACCCACGGACTACTCTATCCTATTGCACCACATTCATGTAGCAGGGCCTTGCCGTAATCTATCCAAATTTGCTCAATACTTTTCGTCCCAAGCATCACTTTAACGAACGTCAGTGAATGATCGGAAATGTCCTTTATGAATCAAGTGTAATACCTTAAATTTTAAGAGATAAAAATAAAATAAATAATTGGTCCATCGTCTTTGTCTCTTTTCAACATTCATTTTTTAGCCCCCCTCCCCCCCTCCGTGTCAATTTACAACTTATATTTATGTGAGTTCGACACTCTGTACAGCATGTAAGGAAGTGCCACGTTTCTTACGTCTAATTTGTTCTTTACTGTACTTTTTCACATAACCTCATAAGAGGGAAGAAGCATCAAATATTCTCACTAAATTCTTTTTACCACTTTCACTTTTCTTGCGAGGAATCCGTTGCAACAGACTTACATCAAGACAAACTCGATAAACAACTTTTCTCCCTCGAGTTTGTAAAAAAGGTAATTGTTTTACAACGTCCTCCTCATTTTCTAATTTCCGAATGAAGAAGAAACTTGGCAGAAGGAATAGCAATTCAGAAATAAATTCTCGCAAAGGAACAAGAAGAAATTCCAGTATGTTCAGTAGTCAAGGAAAAAAAAATGGGGGGGGGGGAGTGGTGATGCTTAAATTTTAAGCCAAAAAGGGAATATTCAAATTTGCCTTGTGCCACGAACATCGCCCACACTGAAAAAATGGTATGCTGTCTTAGGTAGCACCTAGGATGTCAAAAGTGTGTCTGGTGATCCCAAGCGGCTGCCTTTACTGCCCTGGCAGTTATCTTTACATCCTATGAATGCAAATTCAACTGCGTGAGCAATCAAGGTAGCATCTTAGGATCACCAGACATATTTTTGACATCCTAGGTGCTAAAACAGCATATCTTTTTTTTCAGTGCAGGAACTCGGCAATACTATTCTTTACAGAGCGCTATTAGTTTCCGTAAAGTTCAGCAACAAGAAAAAAAAAAGTATTCAACATAGCGAGTTTTGCAAGAGAGTATAAAATGATTCATTTTTCCAACGTTGCGTTCAAGAATAGTAGTTAAAAATTCTCCTTCCCATTTTGAAACGGTTTCAACCTTCAATAAGTATATTTTACAGTTAGTACTATCTAGAGAAACTACTCTGCCACTTAAGGAATGATTAATTCAAAAATTATTACAGTTTCAATTTCGATCAAGCACTTAAAATTCGAGATTTCCTGGTGTTCAAATAAAAAAATCATTCTTAAAAATAGTCTTTGCCTTTCGAAAACGGTTTCAACGGTGTATAAGTATATTTTACAGTTACTACTAACTAGAGAAACTACTCTGCCACTTAAGGAAGGATTATTTCAAAAGTTATTAGAGTTTTAGTTTCGATCAAGGTCTTAAAATCTTAGATATCCTCCACTTCACGCAAAAAAAAACCAGTCTTACAAATTCTCTTCGGCTTTTGAAAACGGATTCAAGCATCAATAAGTATATTTCACAGTTAGTACTAGCTGGAGAGTTCACTCTGCCACCTAAGGAACGATTATTTCAAAAATTAATACACTTTTAGTTTCGATCAGGCGCTTAAAAGTTGAGATTTTCCGGAGACGACCTAATATAATCATTCTTAAAAATTATCTATGGCTTTTGAAAACGGATTCAAGCATCAATAAGTATATTTCACATGTATTACTACCTAGGGAAACTTCTCTGTCACTTAGGTATGGATTATTTCGAAAGTTATTAGAGTTTTAGTTTCGATGAAGCTCTTAGAATTTTATATTTCCACCACTTCACGCAAAAAAATTACTCTCAAAAATAGTCCTTGCCTCCTGGAAACTGATTCAAGCATCAATAAGTATATTTTACAGTTAGTACTAACTAGAGAAACTACTCTGCCACTCAAGGAACGATTAATTAAAAAATTATTACAGTTTCAGTTTCGATCAAGCTCTTAAATTCTTACATTTTCTCCACTTCACGTTAAAAAATCAGTCTCAAAAATCCTCTATGGCTTTTGATAACGGTTTCAACGGTGTATAAGTATATTTCAATGTTAGTACTAGCCAGAGAAACTACTCTGCTACCTAATTAAGGATTATTTCAAATGTTATTACACTTTTAGTTTCGATCAAGCTCTTAAATTCCTACATTTTCGCCACTTCACGTTAAAAAATCAGTCTCAAAAATCCTCTATGGCTTTTGATAACGGTTTCAACGGTGTATAAGTATATTTTACAGTCAGTACTAGCTGGAGAAACATCTCTGACACATCAGGAACGATTATTTTGAAAGTTATTAGAGTTTTAGTTTCGATGAATCACGTAAAATTTTCAATTCTCTCAACTTGACGTAAAAAATTAATTCTTAAAAAAAGTCTTTGGCTCTTGCAATCTGATTCAACTATCAATAAGTATATTTTACAGTAAGTACTAGCTGGAGAAACATCTCTGACACTTTAGGAACGATTATTTTAAAAGTTATTAGAGTTTTAGTTTTCATAAAACGTTTGAAATTTGCGATTTTTCGAAGTTCGAAACTAGAAGAGTAATAACCAGTCTCTAACGGGTTTCCCACCATTATTTTCTCCTTCCCTTGACTCCAACTACCTTGAAATACATAAATAATTCTAAATTACAACTCTACTTTCTCTCCAAAGACAGAATATCTGTGATTTTAAAACTCGGTTGTCGAAAATTGGTAAAATTCCATGTATGGCCTACAAGTGATCCGGTAATAAAAAATTTCTTAGCCGTCTCCCATCATTTATATGAGCTTCCTCTGACTTCACCAATCCTGAAATACATGGATTAAGTTTTCAAACAACTCTCATTTCTCTCAAGAGGCAGAAAAGGTGTCATTTTAAAACTTGATTCAACAAAATGCATAAAATTTCAAGACGTCCGTGAAACTGATCCGGTAATAAAAAAATTCTCAGCCATCTCCCAATATTTTTATTAGCCCTCTCTGACTTCACATACCTTAAATTACATAGATTAAGCTTTAAAACAACTCACATTTCTCTCCAGAGACCGAAAAGGTGTGCTGTTAAATCGTGATTGACCAAAATGGGCAAAATCTCAAGGCGCTCGCTAAACTGATTCGATGATACAGAATTCCTCAGCCGTCTGACATCGTTCGTAATGGCTTCCTGTGACTCCAACAATCCTTAATTACACAGATTAATCTTTAAAAGCAACTCAAAATTCCTTTCATAGACAGAAAAGGTGTGATATAAAATCTCGATTCATCGAAATTCGTAAAAATTCAAGACCTCCCTGAAACTGATCCAGCAATAAAAAAATTCTGAGCCGTCTGTCATCATTTGTGTAAGCTCCCTCTGACTTCACACACCTTAAATTACATGGATTAAGCTTTAAAACAAATCACATATCTCGCCACAGACCGAAAAGGTGTCATTTTAAAACTTGATTCAACAAAATCCGTAAAATTTCAAGACGTCCGTGAAACTGATCCGGTAATTACAAATTTCTCAGCCATCTCCCATATTTTTATTAGCTCCCTCTGACTTCACATACCTTAAATTACATGGATTAAGCTTTAAAACAACTCACATATCTCTCCACAGACCGAAAAGGTGTCATTTTAAAACTTGATTCAACAAATGCGTAAAATTTCCAGACGTCCGTGAAACTGATCCGGTAATAAAAAAATTCTCAGCCATCTCCCAATATTTTTATTAGCTCCCTCTGACTTCACATACCTTCAATAACATGGATTAAGCTTTAAAACAACTTACATTTCTCTCCAGAGACCGAAAAGGTGTGCTGTTAAATCGTGATTGACCAAAATGGGCAAAATCTCAAGGCGCTCGCTAAACTGATTCGATGATACAGAATTCCTCAGCCGTCTGATATCGTTCGTAATGGCTTCCTGTGACTCCAAGAAACCTAAATTACACAGATTAAACTTTAAAAGCAACTCAAAATTCCTTTCATAGACAGAAAAGGTGTGATATTAAATCTCGATGCATCGAAATGTGTAAAATTTCAATACTTCCGTGAAACTGATCCGGTAATAAAAAATTTCTCAGCCATCTCCCAATATTTTTTTTAGCTCCCTCTGACTTCACATACCTTAAATTACATGGATTTATCTTTAAAACAACTCACATATCTTGCCACAGACGGAAAAGGTGTGATATCAAATCTCGATTCAACAAAATGCGTAAATTTTCAAGACTTCCGTGAAACTGATCCAGTAATAAAAAATTTCTCAGCCATCTCCCAATATTTTTATTAGCTCCCTCTGACTTCACATACCTCAAATTACATGGAGTAACCTTTAAAACAACTCACACATCTCGCCACAGGCCAAAAAGGTGTGATATCAAATCTCGATTCAACAAAATGCGTAAATTTTGAAGACCTCCGTGAAACTCATCCAGTAATAAAAAATTTCTCAGCCATCTCCCATCAGGTTTATCTACTTTAGTTGACTCTCCCAACTTGAAGTTAGTGGATTAATGAATAAAAGAGCTTAACTACCATTAAATTTATGGATCATGTGTGAGTTTCAACTTTCATGATAGATATCGTCCTGTATTGTGCAGAATTTCCACGCATGTATTTGGACTGTTATAGTTTGAGGGTCTCTTGCTCCTTTTTTTCCTTTGTTTCCCTCATTGTATCCACACTAAAATGACATTGTATCCACAATGAAATTTCAAGCAGCCACCAAAGAGAGCAATTATTGAACATATTTTCAGGGGCTGGGTATGCAACACGCGCCAAAAAAAACGAAGGAGAGTAGTATGAAAATGCCGACTTTAGCGCAGTAAATTATCCAACAGCGTTGCACGATTGTGCAGAAAAATTACAGCGTTGTATAGGGATTATTGTTCAATATGGCAACGCTGTAAAAAGAAAGT